CCTGGTTGGTCATTAGTCCGAAAAGAACTTCTGACCAAAAAATTTACCATCTGGTGATTAATTGGCTGTAATTCTCAAGTTGTAAGTATTCCAATTACAAGTTAAGAAGATAGAACAGCACCTTAACACCAAAAGTAGTGAGATGTCTTGCCGCAGCCAAACCTGCTGCTCCAGCACCAATTACAATGACAGAAAGCTGCAAGGGAAAGCATTGGAAAAACTAAATGCTGATGCATTTTCATAAATATACCCAAAACAACATGTTTGGGATCATTTACTAGATAGTTAGTTAACATTTCAATCAACGATCTAGTATTCAACTTCAAGTTCTACGTTTACATTTGCTTACTCTAAAGAAATAACATTTCAATTTTATAAGTTCAAAGTTAAGCACTTTAGTTATCTTTTGCAACAAGCTCTAAATTTCTGTATTATACATGTGGTTTGATCTAGAGTTCACCATTTTCAAAAAGCATACCCTTGCAGCCTTTGGTGTGCTGAGAACTTTAGGCACTTTTCCTAAAATACCATGATTGACAAATCCTTTCTTTGTCAGAAAAAACAGGACACGTTTAGCCTCTGTAACCATCAATACTCTGACCAGGCCTCTCACAATGATATACTGTGCACACTTTTCTGGTGTTAGAAACTCCTGTAGGAAAATCAAAATAATGAGGAGGCATAAAATCTGATTTCCTGGTGGTCCCAGAACTGCTGAGGGTTTTTCTGGTGCCATGTAGTTGAGTCTCGAATCCAGACCACTTGATCTGGAGTCAAGCACACTAACGATGAGGCCGCCGCAACTCCTGAGAAAGTGGTCCAGGTACAATCCCTGGCCAGGGACACTGTGTTGCATTCTTGGGCAAAACACTTTTAAATTACTCTCACAGTGCCTCTCTTTACCCAGGAATATAAATGGCTACCAGGGAATTTAATCCTGGGAGTAACCCTGTGATGGACTAGCATTCCGTCCAAGGGGGAGTAGAAATACTCCTAGTCTCTTCATGCCTCGGAAGCCAGATTAAGCACCAGCCTGATGGGCTGCCTGGCTTGTAAGCAGGCTTTACCTACAAAGTGAGTTGGAAGTAATTGTAAAGGCTACAAATAAGGGGCATGCCCCTAAATTTGATGCAAGTCCATTTCATTTTCAGGTTTCCATAACAGTTCCTAGTATCAATTCAAAGAACAGAGAAAATAATTAAAAGTATCTTGCTCAATGACCTGGCCGAGGCTTGTCTTGGTCGCCCCAAAAGAGTAATTGGCTGAGGCAGGTCCTTCTCTATATGAACTGGAGACTTCATAGCAAATAACTCTTAATTGTTCAGTCTATTGTGCAGCATACATTTCACAAAAAAAGAGGATTCTATTTACTTTGTGGTTCAGCATCCACAGAGATAAAATGACATTTCGTAAAGCAAGATACAGCATTGGTTGTCTGAAAAATGACAGAAGCAATTACTCTGATTATTACCTGATATCATTCTTAGTATTAAACAATAGTAAAAGTATCAAAAGTACTGTCACTTCATCCAAATTTCATTTTAAATGTATCCCCATTTAAAACTGTACTTCACCATTTTAAAATGTACTTGACATTTGAGGTATCTTAGTTCCTGAATGAGCCAATCGGATCTCAAATGCATTTTTAATGAGTTCTCTGGGAACTAAGTTCCTGTGTCAACCAATCAGATTTGGTTTGCAAAATGGACTTTGCTCTTTAGGAACTAAGTTCCTCAATAAACCAATGACATGGAAGAATACATGACATGACATTTCTAAATTAAGGTTTGCCTATTTTATTTATGTCAACACTAAATAGAGCAGACAACATTGTTACACTTTGGAAATGAGTCGAATACACGATGGTCTACACGGCAACGAAAAGGCATCTGATACTATACAATTCTGTAAAAAATGCCACAATGGTTTTGCCGCGCTTTTTACCAGCGCTAATACATAATCTTATTAGTAGTTTTCTTGTGTAGTATCGCTAAGTATTTTTACAAGTTGTACCGTAATTTGACGAGCCCGCAGGGCGTGTGAAAATACAAAAAAGGAGTAAAA